CGACACGCTGCCTGACGGGTCGCCAGGAGGTGAACTGCACGTATGTCATCGGTCAAGCATCAACCAGGTCACGTGTGTGTGTGTTGGGCAGGGAGGCTGGTGTGCCAGCGTGCGAGTGACGCACTGAGGCTGCTATACGACTACTGCAATTTGGATGACGTCATCCCTCCCCCCGTAGCCAAGCTGTCCTTGGACCTCGCTGACAAAATCAGCGGGCCGGTTTGCTCGCCCCCTCTCAACTTCAGAGTTGAGGTACGTGCGTCAGATACGAACGAGGACTGTTTCACTTGCAAACTGCATGTCACTCATCGCCTGTCTGTCTGTCTGTCTGTCCCTTCGGTGCACTTGAATGAATGCAGTCGCCGAATTTCTTCGCCGACCCGCCTGGCTTTGCCGTTCTGGGCGGAGTGCTGGGCACTGACGTCATCAGGGCGTGTGGCGAGATGATGAAGCCTTTCAGCATTAACCTCGAGAACCTGGGCACCTGACTGAGTGACCCACATGAGCAAATGAATGGAGGGGGGGCAGCTTGCATTAACCGTAACGCTCGTCTGTGTGTCCGTGACACTCATACAAACACAGTCCCATGAGCACGCAGAGTCAAACAGGCTCGGTGAATGAATGGATGAGCTGTTATGTGTCTTATGTGCAGCACCTTAGTCTGTGCAGGTGCGTGTGTGTGTGTGTGTGTGCGTCTCTCTCTCTCTTTCTCTCTCTCTCTGGATGGGTTGATCGGGGTGAGTGAGTGACGCCACGGAGGGAGGGAGGTATACAGACACTAGCTCGTGTGTGATTTCATGATCGATTCATTCGCGGCCTCTTTTGCAATCCGTGTGTGTGTCTGTGTGTGCGTGTGTGTGGGTGTGTGTGTTGGTCCATGTGGCCACCGTGGCCGCATACTAATTGGACATTTTTGGTTGACCTAGCTGGACTACTAGGGGGTCACTAGACCATGCAGTTGAATAATATCCCGTCCAACAGTTCAACGCCCATATTATCCATTGATCCATTCATCCAATTCAGCGTCGATAAGTCCGTCTGTCTGTCTGTCCACATGGGCATATCAGAGGCTGCGCAGCCCAATGTGGGCTGCGGCTGTCACGTGGCTGTGTCTAATCGCATTCAGGCCCAGACACAGAAACAGACAGGACAGGGCAGGGCGGGAGAAGGACATATGGACACACGGGGCTAAGCCACAGTATCAATTCGACCAAGCCATGTGTCGAATTGATACTGACCCGTCCACTCATGTATCTGAGATATGCTGCTGTCCGTCTGCAATGCACGTGTGTGCGCCGAGAGCCACCACCACCCCCACGCACCCATCCATCCATCCATCCATCATCCCGGCAGGCAGGCAGGCAGGCAGACAGGCAACCCATAGCTGCGTCTATGCACATGTACCATGGATGCCTTGCTATTCACCGGCATGCATCGTTCTCCCTCCCTCCCTCCTAATTGGTAGTTGAGCTAATTGGGCGAGTGGATCAGCACCCCTTCAGCCGCAGGATGAGATGGATCGTCGAGCCGTCAAACACGCCGTAGTCCGACAGCGTGCGATTATCATCCAGCTGCCTGCGCGCATACGAATGTCAGAATGCACGTGTGTGGCCACACCCGCAAGACAGCAGACATACGCCCCGCCACTGACTGACCTGCCAGCGTATACCAGCCGTTGCTCTTCGGCCGGGATGCCCTCGGAAGGTCGCACGCCGTCCTTGAAGTCCTCTACCGTCGCCGCCGGCCGCTCAGCCCACAGGTGGAAGGTTTTGCCCGTAAGGGTCATGACGTTCACCTTGATGATGTTCGAAGTCTGGCTGCACAGAAGAAGAAGAAGAAGAAGAACACCAAACGGTGCACAAAATTCAGGTATGTGAGCCGTTTTGTGTTCCTACAATGTGGGCGGCTGTGTGAAGACATAGCGGCCATGGTCGCGAAGAGCCGACCCCAACGCGCCACGTCCCCCACCACTGCACACACAAAGATAACAAACGCCATACCCACAGCAGGCATCCACATAATCCCCCAACCATCGACTCACTCACCAGTAGTTGTGTGTGTAGGGGCGGCCGTATAGCTCTGCAAACTTGTCTAAGGCGGCCTGCCGGCGGCGCATCTTCAACTCGTCGCTGTCGTACTCGCCCATCGGATCACTGCACGTAAGCAAACACACACACACACAGAACACCGCAATGCGCTCTCTCTGTGGTCTGTGTGCATTCGTGTGTATCTGTGTGCGCGTACTGCGGAATGACGGGTTCGATGCCGACGATGCGCGAGAGCGACATGTACAGCACCGGGTCGACCAGCACTGAATGCCACACCTCGTCGATGTGGGCCGGCACCGACAGGCGGCAGCTGCGGTCGTTCTCTACACCCTTCTGCACACACACATCACACACAACCACACCCAACGGCAGCAAACAAACCATTTGCGCAGCCGCTTGTGTGCTCATGCATTCGTACCAGCATCATGAAGAGGAGGAAGTCCCTCACAGCCACTGCAGGCTCAGCCAGGCCCTCTTCTGTGAGGCGGTAGATGACCTCGTGCCACTTGAGCACCATCAACTCCTCCCACTGACTCGCCAGATGCTGTCAAAGGACACACACAGCCACAGGAACGACCATCTTCCCTTCTCGCAGGTGTGCCATCCCCTGTGTGAAAAGTGATGAGTGCGGTTCTGGGTGGGCTCACCTCTGGCAGGTCGTGCTCGAGAGGCGCCACACGCAAAGGACGCCCAGCCATCGTGCTGAAGGAAAGCGATCGCATTGCGAGCTCAAAGTTGAGGCCGCCTTGATCTGTGCTGGTCCGGTCATCTGAGCATCCAGGAAGGTGAGGGACGCGAAGATCTGCAAGCACCATGCTTGAGGATTCATCATCTGTCGGTTTGTTCCTTTTCTGTGTGCAGAATCGAAAAGACGACAGGAGCATCATCACGAAGCGAAATCCACGCACGGTTATGCAGACTTCCATCCTCTCTCGCAATGTCCGTTTCGGCCGTTTGTTTTGTTGGCGTCACTCTTTCCTTGGCTCATCCGCGTGATGGACAGACGAGCAGCGGCGAGGCGGAGAGGACGCCAACAGGAACAGGATGTGCTGTGTTCGATTCTGTGATGGGTTGGCCATGATGCATAATGCAACAGGAACAGGACGCTCCAACTCGAGAACAAAAAAATGCCCGTCGAGAATTTACGAGACAGGAGACGCCCTCAATGAAATATTTTTCCCCCAAGGTGTCGTCGTGCGCTATGCGCTATCTCACGCTAAGGCGGTCGGCTTTGTCGACAGTGACGGAGAGGATGTCTTGATCCTTGATCCGTTTGCCACCAATCGCGAAGTCATCCACTGTGGTGAGCTGGTGGCGAGACCACTTCAATGGCCGCACAATGGAGTTTCAGGTCGCACGCACAGACGGGAGAGGAATACATGGTGCCTGGCACCACTACCGTCAACACCATCCTGTGGTTACCACAGGTGTGCAGATATCTGCTTCGCCCTGGAGGTGCAGCCCATCGCCCTGAACCAAGCCAGACACGAGCGAGGTGGGTGTGAGCACAGGGAAGACGCAGCATGCATCGATCTCATCGCCGCCTCTGTGAGTGCAGTGCAGAGGCCGAGAGGGCCTTCGAACAGCACTGCCCTGGCTGCACCCACGGCTGCAAGCTCTGCCGGGGTTTCACCGTCAAGGTGCGCCGGCTCTTCGTCACGTGCTCCAAGCTGTGTGAGACTCGCCAGCGGTGCCAAGGAGAGATGATAATCAGAGTACGGACTTCTGTGTTTTGATAGCTATCATGTGGCGACGGAGCAAGACGGAACAGCCGACGGCGGCGTGGGCATTCTTCACGGTGAGGACCAGCCGGTGAGGGGCAGCTGGAGACGCAGCACCACGGAAGAGGAGAGGGAGGTGAGAAATAAGACTACGTGCTGCGTACCGGGCGGATAAGCGCACCAAGGTATTGCAAACGGCATCCTTATCATGATAGGCAGCCTACGGATGGCTTTTGACATCAATGCTATGTGGCAGATCACGTATGAGAGCCAATTCATATGCGAGATTTGCGTCTCGCAGATGTATGTGTGTGTGTGTGTGTTGCGTGTTGCCGCAGGACTCACCTGTGTCAGACGATGTTCTCGTCCTGTATCCGTTGCAGCCGAACACACGACGTAGGACACTCACGACACATTACATTCATGCATCTGTCTGTCTGTCTGTCTGTGTGTATGTGTGTGTGTGTGTGTGTGCTGCCCGGCAGGTGGTGTGGGGGATGGGGGATACTCATCAACAACCAGCAGGGCGGCGCAGTCAACCAAGGTGCACGAGGAGACAGTCGAAGGCACGACGATGCCCGTCTGGCTGCAGCTGCAAGGCACCAGCTCTCAAGAGGGCGATTCGGGGAGCGACCTGACGCTGTCCGGCAGTGCGGCAGCGATTGTTCATGGGCTTTCCCCACACCGCGGGCAAGGTCCCCAGGGTGTCCAGGCCGGCGACAATGACGACGACCGTCAAAGACAACGAGAGCAAGGCGAGCAGCCTTACACACAAGGTGTACATACATCAATCTGATCGGGCCCATCCATCTGTCTGCAGCTACTGGCCATGAAGAGAGACTGGCCATGAGCAGCGACGGGACGCCATCTATGCCACTACAAGGCGTGAAGAAGTCACAGGTAGGTGTCTTTGGAGTGAAGGAAAGCGACAGAGACATCTCCAATACCTTTCCTTGCTTCTCATTGCAGGACCGTCGCGGTCAGGGGCGAGTGGCAAGGCGGGCACCTTGCAGCACGGTATGTGGGGAGACGTCAATCATGATTCTGTCTGTTCGCTGTGCTGCGGGTTGGCAAAGTATGTGATGGGCCAGCTGACAAGAGGGACTCATGTCTCAGTTTGTTTCGTGTGCTGTGTGTGACCAGAATCACAGACCTCGACAGGGGAGGGCGTCCGCAAGGCCAAGAAGGTCGTCAATGTGGGCATGCCGGCAAGCGAGACCTCTCAGTCCGACACCAACTCACGTGCCAGTACGATCACCCACTCCACATCCATCTGTATGTTTGTTTGTGTGCAGCGGCCAGCGCTTCATCATCCTCGGCTCCATCTGCTGCTGCTGCCCTGGCTCAGACCGAGGACAAGCAGCACCAAGGTGTGTGAATGCACAGACAGTGATCAAGATAGCCAGTCACTCAGTTGTCAGCATCGTGGCTGCTGTGCTACCTTGTGTACAGTTCTCACGCGTCGCCTTGAATGTGCAGAGGCCGAGGAGGCAGTCGAGGAGCATTGCCGCTGCTGCAAGACCTGCTTCCTGATCCTCTGGGGCCTCATCAAGCTGCTGCAGAATGTTTGCCGTGCCCTGTTCAGCATTGCCAAAGCCAAATTCGAGGGAGGAAGCGACGACCTGCGGCGAGCCGTCGCCAAACTTTATGGTAAGCAACATTCTGGTCGAGTTTTATGCGATAGTGGTCACATTGGTGAGCGGCTTGGCAGGGTGAGCTGCACAGGGAGGCACTCTCATGTCTCTGCTCATGTCTCTGTGTGGTTCTCAGGCTCGTTGGCCGCATATTGCTGCCTATATTTTATATTCGACGGAGATGTACTTATGCAGGGACCGCACCGTATATGGGCCTGTCTGCGTCTCATGTGTGTGTGGACAAGTTTGGACACGTGAGGGGGCCATGCGCACTATCGTCATACGTTAATTGTCGATGGTCCACAATGAGTCATCGAGATAGATAGGTCGGGCAGCTTGGAGGGCATGATAGATACACATCAGCTTAGAAAGACACCCACATTGCACATCGACTAAATACACAGACGCCGCTGCACATACAAACGAATAAACCACACAGGTCCACACACCCTCACTCATGGGCGCACTCACAAATCCAGCAAGCCTTTCCCTGTCCGCCTCCAATTCGACCCACTCTGTCCCTTGACGCCCTTTCTCGTATGGAGGAAGGCATTGAGGCCGGCCGACAGCCGCACGCCTGTGTTTATGCCGTCACACTGCATGTTCCAGTAGCCATAGCCCCGCACAGAGATGTCCGCCTTGGTGAGCGCCTTGTCGGCCTCCTCCACCTGGTTAGGAGAGAGGTAAAGCATGCGGTCGCTGTCGATGACCTCGTCGCATATGAGCCCCACCACCAGCTGAGAGGGCGACACGCGTATCGTCTGGGATGAGAGGCCGACCGCCGGGTCGCTCGCCGGGTCGCTCGCAAAGTCCACTTGCCAGCCATCAGTGATGCTCGCGGCCCAGTTCACCATGTAGTCTGCCAACGGCTGCTCCTTCTTAGTCACGTTGTAGAGAATGTGTGTGTAGCTCTCGTAGAGCTGCACCGTGACGATGTCGATGGTGGGCACCATCTCGCCATTGGCCAGCTCGGTCGTGCCGTACTTATCGCTCAGCAGAGGCCCGTACGTGTTGCGGCCGTGGTAAGTGAATGGCTCCTCGAGCAGTGCATCCCACTCGGGATGGCCGAAGAGCAGAGACCGGCTGAAGGCGCTGGTGGCCGGGTCAAGATAGCTCTCGGGCGGCGCCATAAACACTATGTAGCCATCTCGTTTGGCCAACTGCGACATTTCACCCATCAGCTTGATGCACGCCGCCGTCAGCTCGTTGAAGGGCGATGACAGATCGTTGTTGCCCTCGACATCCCAATCGATGCCGTCAAAGCCTCCAAAGGCACCCCTCGCCACGTCCTGTCTGTTCACACTCAGAGAGACAGACACGGGGGCGGCGGACGGGCACACACTACAGCTGCACACACACACTCACACATAGAGAGAGAGAGTGTGTGTGTGTGTGTGAACCGGTGTGTGCGGGCGGCTCATACGTTCAAGTGGGGAGGTGAAATTTTCTCCTCGACGGAATATTGGTCAGTAGTAAGCCCGGATGCCAGACTAGTCTTGGATCTTGTCTATCAGGTCTCTGTGGGCCTGCAGACACTCGACAAGGGTAACCCTACAGTCAGAAACGTGAAAATCCCGCCAGCGTCGGTGCTGTGTGTGTGTAAGCGCTGCTGACCTCTCCTTTGGCACCTGTGCGGCGCATGAGCTGATGCACCTGACCCATGTGATGGATGGACCGGGCTACACCCACAGAGCCAAACACGGGCCTGCGGAGATGGACAAAAATGGCAGAGGGAGGGGTCAGAGAGAAGTTCCGCAGAGGCCAATTGGTCGGCGCATAGCAAAGCCTTCATCGAGAGCAATCCTCTGGCACACAAACGAGCCTCCGGGTCGTGGCGCAGCACGCCATCTCGACCTGCACACACAGACAGACTCAGACACAGAGAGAGATGTCAGCTTATTGGTCCTTCTGGCTGCTCCTGACTGCGTGTGTGGCCTTCCTGTGAGCCTCTCTGCGGAGATCTGCCGCGGTGCGGTTTGTGCGGTCTGTGCCTTTCCTCCCAGCATTTCTAAGCTTGCAGGGTTTGGAACCCCACACCCAAACCCTATCCCTAAACCCTAATTGTGCGTAGGGTTTGCGAATTTCGTGAATACGCGTGTGCAGGAGTGCGCAGCAGACAGGCAGGCGCCTCGCCACACACACACGGATGTGCGCAGGGGTGGGCTGTGTGTGCAGAGAGGGTGGGAGGCCCGGAGGGGGCGTGCACTGCGCACGTGCCCCTCCCTCTTTCTCTCTGTGTGTGTGTGTGTCTACAAGACTCCTCACACTGTGTGTCAAAGCCCATCCATCTCTTTAACACGGTCGCTTCATCCACTCACTACCGCAATTGTGCGTCTGCCTTACCCACCGCACACACACACGCACACACACACACACAGACACTCTCTGCCCAGCCCGTCCAGCCCGTCCAGTCACGCAGGCAGTGAGTGTACCATGATGTGCGTCACGCTCGTGTGACACCCAAGAACCCCCTCGCCCACGGAGCGAGCCTGAGCCAAGCGGAAAGTCGATGCATCTGTCGACATGACTGTTGGTGCGTCGTCCCCACCAGCCGCGTGGATGAGGCTAAGCTCCCAGGCTACGCACTCACTCACAGACGTCACGACTGTCTGTCTCTCTGTCTGTCTGTCGCGAATGAGGGAGGGAAGATTGTCAGTCGGTCATTACTATGCCACCCACCTGCGTGCATTCGGAAAAGGCAGCAGGCAGGCACCATAAGTAAAGGAAAAGGTCGCTGCTCACTCAAACAAACGTATTTATTACGTTAATTGTCGATGGTCCACAATGAGTCATCCAGATAGATAGGTCGGGCAGCTTGGAGGGCATGATAGATACACATCAGCTTAGAAAGACACCCACATTGCACATCGACTAAATACACAGACGCCGCTGCACATACAAACGAATAAACCACACAGGTCCACACACCCTCACTCATGGGCGCACTCACAAATCCAGCAAGCCTTTCCCTGTCCGCCTCCAACTCGACCCACTCTGTCCCTTGACGCCCTTTCTCGTATGGAGGAAGGCATTGAGGCCGGCCGACAGCCGCACGCCTGTGTTGACGCCGTCACACTGCATGTTCCAGTAGCCATAGCCCCGCACAGAGATGTCCGCCCTGGTGAGCGCCTTGTCGGCCTCCACCACCTGTTTTGGCGAGAGGTAAAGCATGCGGTCGCTGTCGATGACCTCGTCGCATATGAGCCCCACCACCAGCTGAGAGGGCGACACGCGTATCGTCTGGGATGAGAGGCCGACC